GCTTAATAGACTCTAACTCAGGATCACATAGCATAGGCTCGTATGCCACCGCTCCTGTCACAGCCCTCATCGAGGTTAACCAATTTACGACTATCTTCAAGGATCTCCCGGAGCTGCTCGGCAATCCTTCCAGCCGCACGACAACCAAGCATGCCGTCAAGCATTTTATACCAACCACCGGGCCGCCAAGTGTTCAACGCGTCCGTCAATTATGCCCTGAGCACCTCAAAGTGGCCAAGAAAGAATTGCAACTCATGGTCCAGTTAGGACATGCCAGACCTTCAAAGAGCCCTTGGGCCAGCCCTCTGCACATGGCGAGGAAAAAGAATGGGGACTGGAGACCATGTGGAGACTACCGTGGGCTCAACGAAAAAACCATTCCCGACCGGTACCCAATATCGCTTCTCCGCGACTATTCCACGATTTTAGCAGGGAAAAGCATATTCTCCACCATTCACCTCCGACGTGCATTCTATCATATCCCGGTGGCAGAGGAAGACATACCAAAGACAGCTGCAATAACCCCGTTCGGGTTATTCAAATTCGTTAGCATGCCGTTCGGTATCCGTAACGCGCCGCAATCGTTTCAACGCTTCATCAATGAAGCACTCACTGGCTTCGATTTTGCTTACGCTTATATCGACGACCTCCTCATAGCATCGAGTAACGAACAGCAGCACGTACAACACCTCCGCTTATTGTTTCTACGGCTTAGCCAATACGGCCTTTGCGTTAATGCGGAAAAATGCGTTTTGGGATCAGCCGAAGTCGATTTTTTGGGTTATCGCATTTCAGCGCTCGGATCAGAACCGCTTCCGAACAGAGTCCAGGCACTATGGGATTTTCCAAAGCCTAAAACAATTTTAGAGCTGAGAAGATTTATCGGAGCAATAAACTTTTATAGGCGACACATTAAAAAATGCCGCTACTACGCAAGCACCTCTGAATGAGTTCTTAAAAGACTCTAAGAAAAATGATCGCAGGCCAATACCTTGGATAAGTCATCCCCACGCCAAATCAGACAGTTGGGATTTATAAGTCAATTCACCACCAACTTTGAATACATCTCCGGATCAGACAACAACGTTGCAGACACCTTTTCTCGGGTTGAAACCCGATGAGCTATGACGCGCACAGGCCTCGGACGAAGGGCTGCAAAACCTACTTGCACGCAACGAAACGTCGTTAAGATTTCAAACNGACGAAGGGCTGCAAAACCTACTTGCACGCAACGAAACGTCGTTAAGATTACAAAAAATTAACCTTCGGCCTGTGACGTTTCGACCAACAACATCAAACCATTTGTACCGGCGCTGCTACGTCGAAAAATTTACTAAGCACTACACAATCTTGCACACCCCAGCGGCAGAGCCACAGTTACAATCATAGCTCAGCGGTATATGTGGCCGGCTATGAATAAGGATTTTACACAGTGGGCTCGCGAGTGTCTTACATGCCAGCTAAAGTGGGTCGCCATGTACATCCAACACCTGCCGCATTCCCTAGCCCAGACGGAAGATTCGACCATGTCCATTTGGATCTAGTCGGACCTTTGTCTGAATCTCAAGGCTTTAGGTACTGTATGACAATGGTCGATCGCTTTACAAAATGGCCCGAAGCAGTACCCATTAAAGACGTCACGGCAAACACGGTTGCGAATACATTCTATTCCCATTTGATTGCGCGCTACGGATGCCCCAAGCTGCTCACCACTGATCTGGGCACACAATTTGAAAGTGCGCTCTTTTCGGCTCTTTCGCGTTTAGTTGGTGGCGCATTCGCACGACGGCATATCACCCCGCAGCAAACGGGTTGGTAGAAAGATGGCACCGCACGCTGAAAGCGGCAATCATGTGCCACCAAATTCCACAATGGATTCAAGCCCTGCCAACAGTCTTGTTGGGGCTTAGAACCTGTTACAAGGAAGACCTGAAGGCGTCTCCGGCAGAATACCTATACGGAACAACACTCCGGTTTCCGGGCGAATTTTTCTCAGATAGAGATCCGCCAGTGGATTCGCAGGTTTTCCTCGAGGATTTCCCATCCCATATGAGAAAAATCAGACCAGCGCCCACTACTCACCACTGCCGACAGAAAACCTTTTGCTTCAAAATGTCTACATGCACACACGTATTTCGGAGAGTTGACGCAACCAAGCGACCCCTAGACCAACCGTATTCAGGTCCCCACAAAATCATCAAAAGGTTCGACGAACGGGTTTTCACAATTGAGGTAAACGGCAGGGAAACGAATGTGAGCATCGAGCGTCTTAAACCAGCCCATTTGGCCATCGACGAGGTTTTCGACAGTACACCCCACAGACGTGTTCTCATCTAACCTAAGAACCCGCAGCAGCCTTACACATAAACGAGTCTGCCAGGCAATAAAGAAGGAGCAACACCACGACAGCGCAAAGTTCGGGATTTTCAACTCGACCTCAGGGGTTCCCACCTAAGACCTTCATTTTGGAGAGTAGTGTGGGATCTTAACACTAATCTGCGGTTAAACATCGTTATCGACGTCTTCGACTCCATGCATACAACAGGGAGTCGGTAACGTCGATAACTATGTTTAACCGGAGATTAGTGTTAACCAGACATTGAGTAACCGGCCCTTATTAAAAATCTCGGGATCCCGGAGCTGTAATCCCGGGATTTCGGGACATGGAGAAGTGTCCGAGTGTTCTGAATCCCGGGATTGAATGCCCTAGTAAGGATCTATTGATTGCATTATAAACATTTTCATTTATTTGTTAAACATACAATTACTTCCATTACAACCCGGTCCTATGGATGCAAGAAGCGCGAATTCATATAAGGTGGTGTTACTGGAAAATGAATAAATAAATTATATGTATATCAGAAAATTAATAAGATGAAATGAAATTATTGTTTGATTTTTAACCAAACCAAGCAATAACGCTTTACTAAACTTGCTAACACAATTAAACTTCACTGCAAAAATCGTTAGGCCATGTAGTCTATTTGTGGTAAATTGGAGTACTTACAAAAGTGTTCCTCTGTCATGCTGTAGCGGACCAACTCGTGTCTCTGCGCCAGCTTATTGTTTGTTATCCGATCAATGCTCGTGTTTTAACGAAATGTGATTGAAGTCGAGCATTTGAAAGCACATTTGCATATCTGGCTGTAGCTGAACGTGTAGAGATGCCCGTTGTTAGTTCTTAGCTCCAAGCATGTTCGGGTTCGAATGCCGTCAGAGGCAACATGTAATTTTTAATCTTTGTCTTGGTTTTTATTAATTTCGAAAAAGCATTTGAGAAGTGAAGAACAAAAGCGTGTACAAACGAAAAAATATAACAACAATGCTATTGTTAATATGTTGTAGTAGTGTTGTGATACTCTAATGTAATGCAGGGATGGAGTATATGGTCCTGCCCTAGGACATCGCAATGTTAATTGGACCATATTCTTTATAAGAATTGTGGTTAATTTTAGAGTACTCCTTGGTCCTTAGGGTGTACTCTTCATACGCATGCATGGAGTAGTCGCGATTTTCGCAGGGTTATAGCTTGCTTATTCGCAACTCACTTTACTGGTAGCTTCCTGACTTGTAACTAACTCAAGCCCAAAATACAATAACGCAGTGGCAGTGGCAGTGGCAGTTTTTCGAAATCAGCTGTTTTTTAGAAAGTGTGGTGTCCAATGAAGCGACTCACAATACAGCAGTGACAGCTGGCAGTACTGCTCAGTTTAGCCCAAATTCTAAATTCACTGCCACTGCCTTCATCGCAGTAAACTTCGCATGCAGAATTTGACATAAATGAAACGCAGCCAACATCTGTTGATGTCACTGAAGCCTAAAAGGCAACAACAAAAATGTAAACAAACAAAAGGGAATGTCAAAAAAAGCAGTCACTGAGGGTGTTCACAGTTCGTTCCAAATAGTGTCTCAAAATGTAGACGTCTACATTTTAAGACGTTTTCTAACCGTAAAATCTGTGGTGTTGTTGTTTCCCATACAACATTGGAAAACGACGCCGTCTACATTTTGTCACACTCAAAGGTATGTTTTTTACGCGTCTACATTTTGCAACCTCGCAGCAGGGTTGCATTATGGCAATACTAATCACATTTTTTTTTATTTATTGGGCACGTTTTCTGTATTTGCATTTAATTTGAGCGCAATTTCTGATGAAAAGAAACAAATCAAGGAAAAGAAATAACAAATATTAGGAATTGGTAATTAAGTTAAATAATTACAATTTTTCAGAAACAAAATCGAAAGGCGATATATAAAAAATGCACGCAAAGAAGAAATGTCTGGCAACACCAGCAAAGTTTTGAGACGATTTTGCGACGACTGCTAGAAAGGGGTGCTCACAGTTTGATGCTAAAGATGTCTCAAAATGTAGACGTCTACATTTTCAGACACAATTTGGAACGAACTGTGAACACCCCAACTGACAACGCCGTATTGTGTTTTCTACGGCAGTGACTGCCAATATTAGCAGCTGATTTTAAAAACTGTCACTGCCACTTTCCGCTTTTCGCTTTGCCGTATTATTCGCCACAATATTTTCGTTCAATCGTAGTCGTTAATATTTTCATGGTAGAAAAGGCAATGCATTCCCTATTTGCTACTGGGATTGTGTGCGGGAACGAAAGGCTCTTTTTTCCAGCACCTACTACTGGCTGCTAGCACTGGGTTTACAAAAACAAAATATACGTACGAAAATTGCGAACTGACGAAGCAATGAGCTTGGCGTGAATACGGCTATTGTTGTATTTTCGTTAAACACCATTANAGTTGTATTGAAGTATAAAACATTTTATTACGGTCATATTTACTTATAAAGCGCACAACAATATTTCTCTCGCCATTTATCCGATGTTAAAATTTTTCACCACATTGTTTTGCTGCACAGCACCCTGAATGCGGCAAAACAGTTGCTGGCAACCCTCAAGTCCTTTATGGGGACCAAATTAACAGCCACAACAACAAAAACCTTTTCTACTGGTATACTGTGCCATTATTGGTAACGTAAGAAAATGTAACCCTGCAACAACGTTATTCACAGCTGCTCCTCTCAATGCGAGAAATTAAACAATAGATTTAATTTATTTAATTGGACGAATATAGTACTTGATTTGCGATAAGCGTGTTATATACCCGGAGCTTGCGTAATCTCCCGTCAAGACGCACTTATAATTATCAACAATGGACTTCACGGACAAAGTGGTGCTAATCACGGGTGCCAGTTCTGGCATTGGAGCCTGTACTGCCGTAAAATTTGCCAAATTAGGAGCCCTGCTCGCACTGAATGGACGTAATGCAGAGAACCTACAAGCTGTTGCAGAACAGTGTGCCGCTGTTGGCAAAGAACCTTTCCTGGTTGTCGGAGATATTTCTAAGGAAGCTGACGTGAAAAATGTTTGGCAAGAAACTTTAAAAAAATACAACAAACTAGACGTATTAGTCAACAATGCTGGCATCATCGAAATAGGTAGTATTGAAAATACCAACCTGGCACAATACGATCGTGTGATGAACACAAATCTACGTGCTGTGTATCACCTANTAAGGAAGCTGACGTGAAAAATGTTTGGCAAGAAACTTTAAAAAAATACAACAAACTAGACATATTAGTCAACAATGCTGGCATCATCGAAATAGGTAGTATTGAAAATACCAACCTGGCACAATACGATCGTGTGATGAACACAAATCTACAATGTTGGCCGTTCCGGAGCTCATTAAATCGAAAGGAAATATTGTTAACGTTTCAAGCGTAAATGGTATACGTTCTTTTCCTGGAGTTTTGGCATATAATATCTCTAAAATGGGTTTAGATCAATTTACGCGATGTATCGCCCTGGAACTGGCCCCAAAAGGTGTACGCGCAAACTGTGTTAATCCTGGTGTCATAGTGACTAATATACATAAACGCGGCGGCATGGATGAAGAGACGTATCAAAAGTTCTTGGAACATTCAAAAACAACTCACGCTTTAGGTCGTGCTGGCACTGTGGATGAAGTTGCAAATGCTATCGCCTTTTTATCCAGTGACTTGGCTTCGTTCACAACTGGTACGAGTTTGTCAGTAGACGGTGGTCGACATGCTATGTGCCCTCGATGAGGTGACCAATTATTCAGAACAAATACAACGGCGCATTTACAAATGTATATACACTTTATGGCTAAATAAATTGTTATTTTATGAATATACTTCGTTATTTAAAATACAAATACTGCATCTACTAAATTATCCACAAGTTAGTTTTGTAAATTCAGATAGAACTTTAGCTGTATTTGCACGTTCAAAACACTCATAGGTTATCAAAAATCACTCAAATCAAAAACTAAAAACGATGCACCGCAAAGTAAAAACAATAGTTGTGTTTGTTTACTCATTTCTAGTTAAATCCAGGAAAACTTTTACGAATTTTCATGTTTTGGCGTCTTCGTTCGCAAAAACTTGCAATGTAGGTGAAATTTGAGAGAGCTAAAAATGACAGTTGAATTTGCAAGTTTTTACTGGATAAATTTTTACTTGTAAGAATTTGCTTGTACGAAAAATAACTGATCGCATGGTGCTGGTTGAAATTTAAACTAATAAGAAAACGTGTCGGTTTTTATTGTTGAATTTCACAAAATAAACTTGTGTTTTATTAGGAATGTGCTGCAAATAAACAACAAATTTATCAGCTGTTCATGAAACTTGCAAATTATTAGTTGCGATCCCGTACGAGTCCGGAATAGTCAGAATCAGTCAGATTTTACTGGAAATCGATTCCGTACTCGGTTCTCTGACTATTGAGAGGACAAAAAAGAGAGTAGATACGGTTCCCTCTCTGTCAGAAGTTACCAGTTTTAGTCCGAGAATTTTTTGCTGGTAAATTCTGGTAAATGTGTCAAACGATCAGCTGTAGTGCGTTTGGCAACCAAATTGTAAACAAAAGAAAAGTGCACTCTGATAATTCATGTTGAAAAGTATTTAATTACTTGTTTAAGTGGATTCTAATGAATTTGAAAGTATTTTTGGTTATTTACATGTGTGAGCAAAAATTTACATCCAAAATTTGGAGGTTATGTTGAAGTTGACAGAAGTTACCATTTTTTACTAGAAAGCGATCCCGTACTTTTCAGTGTTACTCTCTCGCTCTGAGCGAATTTTTAGTTTTTGACAGTTTTTAGTTTTGACAGTATTCCCGAGGAATACGGGATTGCACCTATTACTGGATTTGCGTTCGCGTACTTTTTTGGTATTTTTCTATGAGCGAATTCCTAGTGCTCTGTCACATGGTCAGTAATTATCACGATAATTTGATCGCGATCCATATTGATGGATTGATGGATCGCGCACGAATGCTACATGTTCAATATATATCGCGTCAGTATTTGCATGATTTTTGTGCTGAACGCTTATTATGACGCAAGAAAATATTTTTATTTTGTTCGTATAATTTACAGATAATGCAAATTTGTTCAATTTGTTTTGAAAGATTTTAAGCCCCGACAGCGAAGGCTGAGCCGTTATTCGCATTATGAGAGTAAAAGATGTACTGACGAAATGTATGGATCGCGTATTGAAAGTGCGACACGTTCAATATTTATTGACGGTATTGCGATCCGCGATCCAGTAGCCCGTTTCTGTAACTTTTCTCTACCGATTATTTCTCTACTGGTAGAGAAAATACGTCACTCTCGCCTGCTAATTAGCAGTAGAGAACAGGGCGGCGAATTCATATCTCAATTCGCCTTGGCAGAGAATTGTTACAGAAACGAGCTACAGATTTCAAAATTTTTAGTAATTTTGCGATATGGATCACGAACCACCAATACTGCAGGCTACACCGTCAATAAATATCGCGATACTACGTCAATAAATACTGACCGTGTTACAGGGCTCTTAGGGCCGGTTACTCAATATCCGGTTAACACTAATCTGCGATTAGACATTGTTATCGACGTCTACCTGTTAAACATCGTTATCGACGTTACCGATTACCTGTTGTATGCATGGAGTCAAGGCGAATTTATACAAGGTGGTGTTGATGGCGAATTTAGATTTCGCCGCGGTACTTCCTAATGTCAAAATTATGTGTTTGTTGTAAACAATTTATTGACGATATTGCGATCCGCGATCCAGATTTCAAAATTTTTAGAAATTTTGCGATATGGATAAAGAACCATCAATACTGCATGCTACACCGTCAATAAATATCGCGATACTTGGATCACGTCAATAAATACTGACCGTGTGACAGAGCTGTAAAACTGTGAAATCATATGAAATTAAAAATCATCAATTTTATGTTATTATGTTTTCATTGAATTTTTCCTTGTTGGGGAATGTGGCTTATAATTTTCCAATTCTACATTCACTCAAAGTAGATTTTAAGCCTTGTGTGGTAGATGTGGTAGACACCCAAATTTAAAAAAAATACGTGGTTGATGTACCACACATGTGGTAGAAGCTTGCACACTGTTCTAAACGTATGTTTTGAGCAAATTGATGTTTAAAGCTAGCAATATATCCCATGTCCATTTTCCAAAACTATAATAATAAACATGGCAGTTTTTTAGCAATTTGGTTCCTGTAATTAAGGAAATATTGTAGTTTTGGCATTTTTCGAAATTACCATTTTATGAGAGGGACCAGGTTATTGTTCGACTTTTGTATTTTCAATACCCTGCTGCCCTAGATAAAAAA